GGTCTCATCATCTGCTTGCTCAATGTTGCTAATTTGCTTTTTGAGACTTGAAGAGATAGATGCGGGATAGTACCTGTCGAGGAAGCTCTTTTTCATTTGAGCCCATGTGTTGATGCTACCCGAAGGAAGATAGAAAAGCCAATCCTTCGCGGTGTCTTTTAAGGAGAAAGGGAAAGCCCTTAACTTGATTTGTTCCTCGGACACGCCATTGGGGCACATGCTCGTGCACACAATATGGAATTCCGAGAGGTGTTTGTTCGGGTCTTCCCCCCGTAGGCCATGGAAAGAGGGAAGTAGATGAATGAGCCCAGATTTAAGCTCAAATGTGACCCCCGTATCAAGAGTTGGAAAAGTGATACATAGGGGTTGTTGATTTAGATTCGGAGCTGTGAGCTCCCTCAATGTTCTTGTTTCATGAGCCATAGTGATTGGCTCTTCGGTCTCGCTAGATTGAGAACTAGCACTTGATGATTCTCCCGAGTCAGAGTTTGAGAATTTGTTTTTCAACCGCTCGAGAGTTTGTTCTATTTCGGGGTTTGAGTGGTATGTGATTTCGTTCAGTGAACGATATTTTACCATGTACTACAAAGCTCAGAAGAAATAGAAATCCATATATACTTTTTTTTCTTTTTCTTTTAAAATAAAATAAAAAGAAAAATTAATTGTCTTTTCCCGACAATGGCGCCAAATTTGACGTGCACTTTGTCGTGTGTGCACTCAAAATAATTCGATACTAACACTTATACGTAGTATAGGTGAAGTAGAGTTCGTATCCACAGGGAAAGGAATAACTCTCTTTTTATATAAATAGTAGATAAAAAGGAGGTTTTGATTGTTGAGTGATTTAATTAAATTAAACACGAAGATGAACGAGTTATATGGGATTAAATTCAAGAATAAGAGGGACTTGGTCTTGCTACTTTCCACTTGTTGATATATTTTAGTCGATCATTGTTATATCTATAACTTATCCCCTCTCGAATACTCAACCGAGGAGTATATCCAATTCATCGAGGGTAGTTACTAACAATGACCGTTCATTAATAACCCTTACTATTTATCAAATATAGAACAACGCCGTATACCGATATAACAGTAGCTTTTAACCTCTTTAACTCCTTGATGAAATCAATTAAGATTGATAACCTCAACGCAACGGTTTCGGTTTAACCAACAAAATTAATCCCTCTTAAGTTTATCAACCACGACCGTGCATTAATAAACCGAAGTTACTTACTTATGAAACCTTCAACGTTTAACCATCGGTTCGTTGAACGTTTCTAGTAATAATCAATGTTGGAACGTTAACTAATCGTCACTTAGCCACCCTCCAACAATGATATAGAATGAGATTAAGGGAAGAATTAATAATCAAGAGGAGAAAGTAAGAAAATAACTCACAACTTTAATAATCAATCAAGCTTCAAGAGCAAAACCAAGAAATGGAAGTTTAGCTCCTCATTTGGAGACTAAACATGCTAAAAGAAATATAGAGAAATGCTATTCTAAACTGAGCTAAGAGTATAAAGGAATTGGTGATCTAAAAGTGAAGGAAAGGAGGTGTATTTATAGGCTTTTTGAGGTGCAGGTCGAGTACTCGATCGAGTATGTACATATACTCGATCGAGTATGTGTAAAACTTCGAATTCGATCCTTACTCGATCGATATTCGGGTATAATTTAAAGCTATACCCGATCGAGTATGTCGGTGTACCCGATCGGGTATAGACACTCGATCGTGGAAAATCTTCTCCTGCATGTTCCTTTGTTTTCGGATCCGATCCGATTTGAAATTTCAACCAGATACCTGATCGAGTATATGTATATACTCGACCGAGTATAGACCAAAATCAGGATTTCCTTTTTGTCTTGTGATTTTTGCACCTTCTTTCCACTTTTGGGGTTCACCAACTATCCTTTGAGTGATGGCAGACCTGTTTGAGCTCAGAATAAACCTAATCTAAACTTTTTACAAGATTTTAACAAACTAAACTATTACACCAAAAGTGTGTAATTTCCGAAATGCTAAACTATAAAAAGTAACTAAAAATGCAAACATAAACACGGAAATTACACATGTATCACGCACCTCCCAGTATTTTTCTTTTAATTTTTCGAAGACTTTTTAAAATTGGGGTTAATTTTTCTAACGGTGTTAGACGTCATGCCCCTGCTATGATAACGGAATTAAAACACATGCCCCACTTTGTTAGAAAATGAAACACATGTCCCTATCTGAAAATGGCCCAACTTTTTTAGCATGCACATAACATTTGATTTCGCGCGCTGAATTATCTGAATTGTGCAATAATAAGAAAAGGTAAGGTTGAAGTTACTTTTTTGGTTGTATTGATTGAAATTACTATAGAGAATCGGTTTAGCTGATTTTTCATATAACTTTTTCCTTATTTTATTAATAAAATATATTTTAAATACATTTTTTTCATAAACCAACAGAATCAGCCACTTCAGCTAGAACTTTATAAATTTCAACAGAATAATTCAATACAGTCGATTTGGGTATTACCAAACGAGCTCTAATTTATCACTATATTTGAGATTTTCAGTTATTTTTGTTTACCTTGATCCGTAAGAAAGCACAATTGAAGTATTGGAAAACATTTTCCCCAATTAGTGCATTTTTGTTTTATGTGCAAACATCTTTATTTGAAGAGTATAAATGCTTATTAATCTTTTGATCGAGTATACACACATTCATTCACAGTGTGTATATATATTTATATTGAAATCAAACATAAAACTTTAAGATCCAAGTTCCGAAATGTTAAAAGTAAACAGATTTTGCTATTGGCTATTGCTAAAATCTCCCCCCATTTTTTGAGTTTCTTCTCTTGTGTAAATTTCTCTTGCTCTTTGGCTGCTTACTTCTACTTTCCTGCGGCTGCTAATCTGCAACTATGTCTCTGTGTGTGTACGTTTACAAATGAATGTTTAGCTAAAACTTGAAAATGTATAGCTACTTTCAAGAGGCTAAAACTTGTAGAAAGAAAAAATGAAGAAAAAAGAAATGTATAACTACTTTCGCCGGGACTGAAAGAAAGAAGGAAGAAAATAAATGGTTATATGTTGGTGTTGAGTTGTCCAGCTTTTGCAGATTTATACTTCGTATATAGGAGACGTAAGAGAGGCCATGTACAATTGTTTGTAATAGTCTTCCAATAATGCGCCTCAAGATGAGGGATGGGCTCTGACTGCATTTGACATATATATGGCTGAAGTACTGTTTCTAATAGTCCTTCAATAATATTCTGTTTTTTGTGTTTTAGCTACAATAAAATACGGAGTAATAAAAATTGTAATAAATTGTTGAAAGTTTGAAACCCCACCAATAATATTCCTTTGATCAGTTTCAAATGAAAAGTCTCATGTACATTGAAACCCCACCAGCAGCATGGGCAACTTCTGTTATGTAGAAAAGATTATTTTGAGAATGGAATAAATTATTATCTTTACACTTTAGTTAGTAATTCTTTTGCTTTTATATTATAGTAGATCAAAATCATGGTCTAAATTTTAAGATTTGGCTAATTATTTTGGGACGGAGGTAGTAATATGGTTTGATGTGTTTAAGAGCCTGTGTAGTAATACCGAAATCAGCTCATCTGTTGAAATTTATGAAATTGTGACTAAAGTGGTTAGATAAAAATATGGAGGGTATTTATATTTAGATTTTGCAATTTTATCTTAGAGTTTTAATTTAAATTTTGCAATTTTGTAGAGTTTTTAATGTAGTTACTAATTATGTAAATTTTAATTATTAAAGTTGAATTAATTATGAATAGAGAAGAGTTAATTTTAGCATTAACTATCCAAAAATGTTGAACTTGCAAAACAATTTGGGTCGGATGTGATACTATATATAAGAAGATTACGAATTCAAATATAACTTACACACATACCGAATACAGAGAGAGCTCAAATAAAGAGAGGTGTTCTCATGCAAAATTTGAACAGTTTCACTTTTGCACTCACCGCATTGCATTATTGCAAGTTCTTGTTGCACTTTTTCATAGTGGCAAAAAACTTAGGTTTATTTACAAAATTGCCACCACATTTTTATCAAATTTAGTGCATTGTTGGCTCCTTTTGAGTCATTAGATGTAGAAAAGAATGCACAATATTTATTCTCACTTTGCACAGGAAGATCACTTTATATTTGAACCCTCTCCTACAGAATATTGCATGTACGAAGTTTGTAACAAATTGACCATTCAAATTTTTTTAAAAGGTTGAATTTGCATGATTACCTAGGATTCCAAGTCAGACATTCCATAAATTAAAAGCACGTGCCTAAATGTTCCAAAAGTTGGCAGAAAGAATCTAAAATTTGAAGAAAACTTGAATAATCCAGATTTATATTTGATATCGGATATTCTTTTTCAAAAGAATTTTTGAAAATAATTTTAACTCTTCAACTATGATATTGGAAAAACTCTCACATCATCAAAATGATCTCCAAATACACTTATGAATTAGGATGCCCTTAATCAATATATTAAAGAATAGTTTTGACTAGCATGCATTAACCTTTTCTTTACAAGAAAGAAGTTTTGTTAAACTAGTCGTATATTAACCTAACCATAGACAGCTGGAAATATGTGAGCCGACGATTCCACGTACACAGAGTAACTTGCACGCAGTAGAGTTATGATTAACTTCGTGCAAAAGAAAGCAATTATCTTCATGCAAACTCGAAAAGGATTTAGACTATTTTTAGTTGCGAAAGTTTTCTTTGTTAGACTATTTTTTCCTTTTCCAACTATATTATGTGTTGTCATTTTTATAAGATTTAGTTTCACATGGAAGTACTTGTAAAAGAAGAATATTTTATTATGCACACAAAACTACTGTGTGTACGACTATATGCAAACTTTATTTATGAGTCCCGGTGCCCACATTTTCATGATTATGATGAACCATTATTGGTGATGTCATTACTTACTTAATTTGACAATGAGTCATATCACATTTTCTTTATTATTTACGTTGAACTCTTCAAGTCTTCAACAACAAATAATTGATCAAAAGATTTGACCTTAAGTATAAAATGCATTCTTTCTTTGAAAATACATAAAGCACTTTGGAATCTTCTTTATGGGGTTGCGCTTCAAATTCAATCAGAACATTACGCCACAAGCAATATGAAGGTTCCAAGCTCTTTTGTTGACAATTATCCTCATTCAGACCTCATCTAATTTGTGCATAAATTGATGCATTTGTGAAATTTTAACTTGAAGCATACATCTCTTTAAAACATTAGTGAGAGAAAGAGTGGGTCCAAGCTAGAGGTAAAATTTCATTTTCCATTTAGAAATTTTTACTCAATTTATGATTCTTCATTTCTGGTTATTGGTTTGAGAGCGCCTCTGAAAAACTTGATGAGCTACGTAAATAGTGATGCTCTCACTTTTCGAGATTCTACAATATTTGTTTGATGGTTCTGTCTTAAAATATGCAGAAAAGTGTTATCACTAGCAAAATGTTAGTCCAAAACACTTAGGTAAAAAGTTATACATTTTGAGATTTCTTGAAGTAATTTTCAATATTTTTATTTTATTATTTGTTGGTATAGTAGCTTTTGAATTCAAAGCAACTAACTAATGAGCTCTTCAACATTTATGAATTACAAGTACTAAATTATGCGTTTTTATCTCAAATATATCTGAAATAAATCTTATTGATAAAAGTATGAGTAAAGTTCTTATGATTTTCATGTCAGACGTCATTTTGTGGTAGCACCTTAAACTAAGAAAGATGAGATCAGTCATAAGACTATATTCTACAACCCACAAACTCATCTCCACTTTCTTCACCGTCTGGCTCCCTCGAGGTTTGAAGATCATATTCCTAACCTTAATTGTCGTCTCCACCGTTGGCGAGCGTGTAATAACCACAACTGATTACAAATACAAGACTATGATAAAAAAGAGGACTTCTAGGTTTGTTTATAAGAGCCAAAACATTACAACCAAAGACTACTTTGTTTCCAGCAGTAGAGGAACGACACCGTTAGAGTGTGCGATCTGCATAACAGAATTCATCGACGGTGAAGTGGGGACAAAGCTGGAGAGTTGCGGGCATAAGTTCCATGCAATCTGTGTGGGGAAATGGTTGCAGTGGCATCATAAGAAGTGGCACGTTGGTTGCCCTCTGTGCAGGATTCCGGTGGTCAAAGAAAGCGATGTTGTCATCATGAACGAACACAGACAACAATTCCAGAGGAAAGCCCGACGGATAATCAGTGAGGAGTTGGAGGAAGAGTTGGGCCTTCTCTTGCTTTCCGGCCTTTGTTATTCCAATTTTTGTGCATCGTCGCCTTTGCGTTCATGAAATTTGAATCAATACAGTTGATTGGTTTTCTTTTGATATTCTTTAGTTGACATAAATTGAGAAAATTGAATCATGTAATTTGCATAAAAATTTTAGTTATATATGTTATTTTCCTAAATAACCTGTTGATAGAGTATATAGTCTTGGACCCCCGGGTCTCACGATTATTGGGCTTGGACAGCGGCCCGCACACGCTTCACCGATATCATTTATATTATTGTACAGTTCATATATCATTTGTATCTACTATATTAGACTTTTATGTAGTTGGGCCTATTGGACCCGTATTAGCGGCCCAACCCGTTGTATCTGTATTTATACTTCCAAAGGGAGCTCTTGTAAACCTAATTCCATAATTATTACTCATTCACAATACACTATTCATATTCTTCTCCACATCTATTAGCTCAAATCTCTCCTAATTATATATGATTGGATCCCTATTATCCATCATTATCCATCATTTGGTGCTTTCATTGAGAGTTCGAGCAAAAATCAAGTTAGATCCTCCCAAAAATTCATTTACAATTTCGAAATTTCAGGAAAAGATTTAGAAAGATGAAAGTTTCACGATTTTTTAAATCTATAGCCTCAAATCTGGAATTTTTCTTGCGAGATTTGGCTAACCGATGAAGCGCAAGTCAACAGGACGAACCAGGTCCGGCCAAGTCTGGTAATCGGCGCTCGCTGCTCCCCTGGTCGCCGCTCCTCGTTCTTGCCGGTTGCTGCTCACCCTCCGGTCACCGTCATCCCGTCAACCTCCGATCTTAGATGTTAGTCCTAGTGACCTCGCTCCAGCGCAGCTCCAGCAGCTCAGCGCAACGTCAGTCTCCGACAACGGAAAATCCGCCGCCATCTTTTCTCAGACAGAGGTCACTCCTCCCTCTCAGTGGCAACCGTGGACGAAGGTTATCCTTCTTCTCCGATTGACAACTTCAGAATGAGAGCACAGCCCCCCCTCTCGCGCTACTTCCGTGTGTCCAAGGATTTCAGGTGGGATTCACGACCGTCGGCAGATCCTCGCTCCCAGCAGCTCCAGCCGAACCTCCAAAGGCGGCGAAGTCAGAGGTCGCAACACCCTAGGACGCACCAGTAGCAGAAGGAAGAAGGTTGTCCACACGACCGGCATCAATGACCGGTCCAAAGCGCCCACCTTTCCTCCAGCCTCGCCGATTCCATATTCGGCGGAAGGAGGTTGAAGGGTTGACGGGTAGTGTAGCAACATGGGAAGGGCAAGAGAGCATTCGGCTAGGGGTGAGAAAAACCGAACCGAAACCCGGAAACCGACCCTGGACCGACTCGAATTATGATCCCGGTCCGGGTTTTTTCTTTTTAACCGGCCCGAATTAAAAAAAACCCGGACCGACCGAAAATTCCGAGCTCATTAACGGGCCATAAAATCTATAACCCGGCCTGGACCGAAAAAACTCGAAACAATTAGTTTTAATATAAAATTAATATAGGATATGAATATAAATAAAATATTTCCTAATATATGATTATAATCACGGTGGATAAAAAAAGATTTAGTAACTTTTAGTGACTACAAATATGTTGAATTTGTTTAGCGTAATGATGACCATGAGAATATATTTATAGCAACTCTAGTAACTTTTTTATTTATAAAATTTATTTCGTAATATTTTTAAGAAACCTATATTATTTATATATATATACATCTTACATAAAATATTAAGATAATTATCTTCTTTAAATTTGAATTGTTGGTGATTTAGGAGACTAATATTTGTGTTATTATTTGCGGTTTGTATTTTTTATTAATGTTATTTGAAAATAAGTGTTAAAATATAAAAGAACAATGACATACTTCACGGCCGGGCTTTAACCGGTCCAACCCGAACCCGGACCGAATCCAGGCTACCAAAAACCCGACTCGGACCGAATATAATGAGCTTTGTTCCGGTCCCTAATTTTCATAACCCGAGACCTTCCGGGTAATTTCCGGGTTTAGCAAAAACCCGACCCAGACCGGACCGATCCCACCCCTACATTCGGCCATGGGAGCAGTGGGCCAGGCCACATATAGCCCAGCTATCAGTAAATCAAGTGGGCCGCCGATCAACAAAAAAAAAACTCCTGGCCCAAGCTTTTGTTCAAAGCAGTCCACTCAAAAGCTAAGTACCTAAAAATACTCCTTTCATTAATTAATTCTCAATTCTCAAATATAAATGTGATTAAAGTTCCAAAAACAATCATAAGATGAAAAATTAATAATATAACATCAAACTTCAATCTCAAGGGACGAGTCATCCGTGGAAAGATCCCCAAAAGCGTGCACCTGGCGGATTCGAACTACGAACTTGAGTGACAAGTTGAGCTAAATTATTAATTTATTATCATTATTATTTAGGTACACACTCTAATTTCTATGTTCTGTACGAGTTATGTGTGCCCCCTAAAACTATGATAGTCATACTCTAGATTAGGCGCGTGCCACGGTCCAATTAAGCATAGAAATCTAGTTTGAGCTCTACCTTGAAAATTTGAGGTCACTTAATGTAGGCCCAAATCCAATAGCGAATTATAAGCTCAAGAAATTATAATACTTTTATTTGAATGCATAGGTGTAATTAAATGATGACTTGGATTTTATATTGGCCTCTCGACCATACTCTTGGTCATCTTTATTTGATGACCCGAACATCATTATGGACGATCGCTTGACCTATCTCTTAGTCATCTTTATTTGATGGCTATGACTACTTATCATGCTGAGCTACACACATATGAAGACCGGTCTCAGCCATCGTTTCAGCATATGACGATCGTTGCAGCTCCACACCTAGGCCGAATGAGTCACCCTTTTGTTTCATTTTGGAGGCATCCGGTGAACTCTTTTTCCCTCATTAGGATTTTTTCCACAGGGTTTTTCCTAGTGAGGTTTTTAACGAGACATCTCTCCAACGTGGACAAAAGGCGTCGACCCTCGGCCCCTATTGAAGACATCATCACGAGACATGCACTACTCTACTTCTCTTCACCTCACTACATTCACCTCAAGGAGTGGGGGACTGGAAGAGCGGAGGACTTAGCACATCCGTTAATTGAAGAAGCACGAATTCAAATTTTTTCGTTAAGTTTACTCACCAGACGACGACAGATCATCACACAGTTTTACTCCCTTTCGCCTTGAGTACTCTCGATTTAGGGAGTGTGGGACTCTTGATAGAGTATATAGACTTGGACCCTCGGGTCTCACGACTATTGGGCCTGGACAGCGGCCCACACATGCTTCACCGATATCATTTATAGTATTGTACAGTTCATATATCATTTATAGTATTGTACATTTCATATATCATTTAAACGCTCAACAGCGGCCGACTACTAGATTTGTATCATCTGCGAAAACATGTGAATCCTGTCGTTACAAACTGATTCAGCAAAAATGGTGTTTCCGCATGCTGAACATGGCTACTGTGCGTACCATATCTTAGGAAATATTAGATCAAAGTTCAAGGGCTCTACTACAGTTCTAGCATGGAAGTTTAATCAGGCTGCTAGGGCTGCCACTCCTACTCAATTTGAAGAGTATATGGCTTTGTTAGATGCAGAAGATCCCCGTATCCGTGATTATTTGGATGAAATTGGTCTTCAGAAATGGGCTCGCTGTTTTTGTACTCGTTCTAGGTATTCTTTGATGACATCAAACAACGTTGAGTCAGTGAATTCAATGGACCGTGTCCCCCGTGAGTATCCTATAGCAAAACTGATAGATTTTTTGCGTGGAAGGATGCAAAATGGTTTTGTTGAACGTTGTGTTGCGTCATCAACTTGTAAAACAATTCTTTCTGCCCATTTTGAGTCTCAACTTCGTTCTTATCATGCCAAGGCAGCTCTTATGACTGTAAGTGTATTACCTTTTAGGTTTTTTGGCATTGTTCTTATCATCTTTTACACATATGTTCTTATCATCTTTTACACATATGTTATAGGTGTACCTACTGTTAGTATTTTTATGTTGTTTTAGGTGAATCCTGCTAGTCAATATGAATTCAAGGTGGCGGACAGAACATCTAGAAGCTTCATTGTTAATTTGAAAGACAAGACATGCTCATGTTGTGAATTTCAACTTGATCAGTTTATATGTGTACATGGAGTTGCAGTAGTAGGCCATCAACGAGGTTTATCGTGTTACGATTACATCTCTAAGTATTACTTCACACGATAGTGGGTTGCTGCTTATAAAGGGGAAGTTCACCCTCTTGGTTCTCGTTGTGATTGGGGTGTTCCTGCTTCTGTGGCGTCTGAAATCTGCAGGCCACCTACATGCTTGACACGCCAACCCGGAAGACCTAAAAAGAAGCGCATTCCTTCAACTGGAGAGTTTGGTTCCCGACAACGGGGTTCACGGTGTAATAAAGGAGGACACAATAAGAAGTCTTGCACAAATCATATCCCATTCCGTGCACTTTAGTTTCATACTTTTCTATGATTTTGTTTTTATTTCCTATGGTAATAATTGTAAAACTTATATTGCTTTTATTCATCACTATTGTTAGCTGCCATGATTTGTTGGCTTTGGACTCTGTTCATTGGAATGGTATTTTGGAGTTTGATTGTATGTACTGTTGTTATTCGTACTCACTTTATTGGTTGTTAAAAAGCGAGCAAGTTTATGGATGAAATTACTGTCTACTTACGTACTGATTAATGTCTATTAGAAGACTTTAATTATAGTCTTTGTTAGTTGAGCATTTGACAATGTCATCTATAATGGTCTCTTATGATTTGTGTTCCTTTTTCACTAGTATGAATGAAATCACAGACCTTACTTTTGCATTTACACTAAAGTTATACTATCCCAGTCCCCTTTTTCCTACTTGGTAATCTAAACATATCTCACTATTATACTAATTTAATGTACAACACACACACACACACACCTTGCATATTTATATGTTGAAACACCTTTATGAATAATACCAACTATCAAAATACCTTTTCTACGTTTATTGACTTTATGTTCATATCAATTGAAAAAAAAAACATTATATTTGGAAAAAATATTATACTCATACTCATATCATGTGCAAAAGAAACATTATATTATACCTTAAAATGATAATTATATATTATCACATTAGTTCAGCAGTTTAATTTATTAAGTTTGACATTTGCTTTACTTTATACGTTTCAATTAGTTGTTGTACTTAATTTGGTTGGACAACTTTAATGTCTACGGATTTTCCATTAATGACTAATTAATGTCTAATCATGCACTTCAATCCTCATTTCAACAGTTATAATACTTGAACTGAATA